AATGTTTTATAATGCGGTCACAGTGCAGTTTATAGCTGTGCTTGAGATAAGAAATTCTGTGAAATACCCTATGTATATATAGAAAAATATATATATTAGTTTGGGTTTTGAGATTAATAATTGGTAACTAGATCCTGTGCCATTTCGCTGTGTTATCTTGTAACTTCTCTCAGTTCTCAAGCAAAACTTTGAACTCGGTATTTTCCCAAACTTTGCAGCTCAAAGTAAATACTTTTCATTTAAACTAATTTCAGTCAACATAATAAAATAGGGAAAACATCACCCACTTAAAAACAGCTTAAATTGCATGTGCTTTGTCACTATAAACAAACAAGGTAAACATTGACATAACTCCAAATTATTCTTGGGTTGAAAAAAATCTGCAGTTCAAAATAAAATTCCGCCTTTGGTCAACATTTTGGATGCAATTCAAAGTTTCTCATAAAATAAACATATTTTAAAGAGTGCTTTGAATTTCACTGTGTAATTTCTAGCCAACAGAAATTACAGTGGTATCTTTAAGGTTTATTATATGTCAGATCAATAGCCATTATGCAGGGCTAACAACCTTCCGAAAGGCAATACCTTCCCTCTGCTTAACCCTTACTACTATGACATGGAAGAAGAAAAAAAAACTTCCTATAGGTGTCCCTTGGGGAAATCCTCTCGCAAAATGAAACTTTCTTGTTTATTTGCTTACTAATAAAAGTATTCTTTTCTGATAAAATGGGAAATGAGCTGAATTTTTGGCCAAGAAAGCAAAATGTTCATTAAAGTAATCTTCATGAGAATTTTTCAGTAAAAGGGGGAATAGTTTTGCATTCTGCAAAATAACAAATTATTTTGAAGCATGAGCTTAAAATGAAAATGCCCCATCACAGCAGATTGTAAATATTTTTCTGATGCTTTTAAAAGTGCCTCGATCATTTCTGTGACTACAGTGTTAAAGTTAAGTATTTGCTATTTTATTTAAACATTTTTGAAAAATGAACATTCTGGGGCTTTGCAGCATTATTAAGAAAAGCTGTCCATACTTTACCATGTTGTTACATGTGTTTATCTGCTGATTATAAAATGTGCTAAACAGTATTTTAAAAACAAAAAAAAAAATTGCAGAGCTGCGCTTTGATTAATTCAGTGAACAAAACATATGCTGTTGGTTCTGTTCTATGAAATTCATATATGATCAATAAAATCTTTTAAAAGAGCAACTTTGGCTTTAAGGCTTGTACTGCCGACCCTGTTTCTCGTCCCAGCTAACTCAGGGCTCACACTGTTAACTTAGGTAAACAAAACCACTTTCTGGCTATGAGAGTAATGTCTTTTTAATATTTTTTTTATCCTCTTTCTAAAATTCCTTTAGGTTGGAAGCTGTGTATTGCGGTTGTTACCCACTCTGTCCCAAAGATTTGGTTTATCCCGAAATATTTCCAGGTAGCTGCTTTAATGTACCTTCATCTTTGTCGAGATTTAATACATGCTTCATGCTAAATGAGAAAGTTTGAAAATAAACTTAGGCAGGAGCAATTGTTTATTTGGCAAGTCAACATGTTAGTGTTAAGGAAAATTTTATGTGTTTTAATACATTAGAGTAAGCTTATATTTGCCATCTGTTCTTTTAAGATAACAAAAAAGCAAGTTTTCAAATAGCATTCTCTCATTGTTAGCATACACATCCCATAATGATGGATTTTTATAAGCAGGTCAGTGTTGCTGCAGTTGCTTACAGATTTTTTTTAATGATATACACAGAGAAAAAGCAAGGACTGGAAGTCACACCAAATTATTTAAACAATTGACTAGTTAATAATATGCAACTGTTGTTTCAGGGTACATACAGCTAAAGTACCAGCTCTTGGAAAAAAATTCTCATCACTAAATATATCACATATGCATTGGGTTACATTAGAATAATGTATTTTAATCACCCAAAGGAGATGTCTAAACAGCACAACTACACAGTCTTACTTAGCATTAAACATCCTTGTGAGCTGAGGTAACCTTATAAAATCATGCTTAAATAATGTAAAACACGAGGCAGCACAGAGCAATATGCATTTTTAATTAGTAAAGTGACTAATATCGAGTGTGTGCTTTGAGGTTTTTGTTTCATTAAAAATGTATCTGTTTTCCCTGCAGCTGAGTATCTGTATTCCACACCTGAACAGCTTTCAAAAAGGCTCCAGATTTTCTGCAAGAGACCAGATATTGTAAGAAAACATCTTTATAAGGTAGATATTGAGGAGAGATTTATGTGGTATAAATGCCATATTGAAGTACAAAGAAAAATCTTTAAAAAAAAAAAACATTTAATTAACATACTAATGTTTAAAGGAAACATGCTAGGGAGGGATATTAGTTGTTACACTAACAAGGATTAATTAAACTGCATGCCAGTTGTATTAACCTAGGTCTTATGAAATACGTGCACTTAATGCACGGTACATGCTTTTTTTTTAATTTATTGTTTTCTAAGATGACTGTCCTTTACATTTAGCCCCAAGAGGCTTATAAAAATGAACCTGGATTAATGTAACTCATTAGTTTAAAAGGAAGTAAAGGAAAGATTCCACAATTATACTAATGAGGATAAGCCTTTCTTCCCATCATAATGAAATCTTCAGGCCTCAAAAATTCAGGTGAATGACATTCGTGAAGTTTGGTGTTCATTTTTTTAACTACTTTGAAGATGATTTTCAAGAACTGAACATTTCCCTTGTCCAGTTTAATAAAATGACCTAAAAATCCTCAGTTTGTGTAGAATGACACTGCCAGGCTCCTCTCTGAATGGCAAAGGCAAAGGGAGAATAGTTTTAAAACAGCCTCATCATGAAGTCCCCTCACTCATGATCTTTTTTCCCTTGTTTGAATCAAGAATTTCACATTGTTGAAATCACAACACAAAGAGGCCCTGCTTAAAGTCTAAGTAATTGAACTGGGATAAATCTGCTTTACGACTTTGGAAGGTGGCTCTAGGCCATGAGTAATATACCTTTTTATATTCTTTGAATGTAGCATCTTCATTTTACATAAATTCAGTATAGTTTATAATCTAGCAGTTTTATAATCCAGTATATTTTAATTTTCCTATGTTAATGTATAACCTTCCTACATGAAATACAGTTTGCTGCCCTTTTTTCTCTCCTTTCCCTTTTCATGGCCTAAAATACATATTTACATAGTGATATATCAAAACAGGACTTTGTTTCTGCAGGAAACAGTTAAACTTCAAGAAAAAGGGAGAGAACCAAAAACGCAATTTAACACCCAATTTCAAGCTCATTATCTTTCATTGTCTATTAACTTGGCAATGGTTCAGAAGGTAGCTCATAATAGTTTAAAATGCTGACTGAACAGTTCCAGGCTCCAGTATTGCGCCTTGAGTCAATACGATTGTACCGTATATAGGGGAAGCTTCACAGACAAAACAGCCTCCCAGGGTTTCCATCCACATTCCCTAATTTTGGAAGTTCAGTAGTGGTCTGCCTTATATAAAATGTTACTCCAGTCATTTTCCACGTGACAGGCTATCGAAATGGGCAGATTCAGGAAATGGAAGAAATAGAATCCTGAGTATTTATGCAAATGGATTCCTTTTCTATATATGACACGGAGATCTTTTCAGTGAGCTCACCATCAACTCACTAATTTTGTTCTTCCCTCCTGGTGAATTTTTGGTGTAGGTTTGTTTGTTTTTCAGTTTTATTGAGATAGAAGTGAGAGTGCGGTGTCAGTTTACAACCCACCGCATAATGACTTGACGTCCACATCTTGGAGAATGGTCACCCCCATCGGCTTAATTACCATCTGTCATCTCATAGAGACACAAACAAAAAAAAAAAAGAAAGAAAGAAAATGTTTTTTTCCTTGAAGTATTTATAATGGTATTTCCACCATCAAAATGTATCAGTTTTTAACTTTGCTTCAGGTTAGGCCTCATTATCTCTGTTAGTCTTCATGGACAAATTTTTAACCATTTCAGAAGTTACTGCAACAAGCTGCCTTGAGTTACAAAAGAAAACAGACCTCCAGGGGCACCTGGGTGGCTCAGTTGGTTAAGCGACTGCCTTCAGCTCAGGTCATGATCCTGGAGTACCAGGATCAAGTCCCAGGATTGAGTCCAGCAGGGAGTCTGCTTCTCCCTCTGACCCTCCCCCCTCTCATGTGTTCTCTCTCTCTCTCTCTCTCTCTCAAATAAATAAATAAAATCTTAAAAAAACAAACAAACAAAAAAAGAAAACAGACCTCTGGTTGAAATATTTTAATACAGCTACCCCGTAACATGGCTATAATTATTTATTTTATAAACATCTTCTGGAAAAACTCTGAAACAATGTCATTCAGCTTAGTGATAATGCTGTCACTTAAATCAAATTGTTCCTCATACAGCTTAAAGATAACCTATGCCTTAAATGTTATTTCCTGTTACTGCTTTTTACATATGTTTTGGTCTTTACATCCTAAAGTGCTCCATCTCAAAATTTTATAAATTAGAATTTTATGGGTCAGCATTTATAAGAATTCATATGCATGATTCTTTTTTATGTATTTTCTGTGGATTTTTTTCTTATAAATCTGTTACACACGTTCAGATGTGTCCTCATGTGTAAATCCTGATGATATTTTATCTAAAGATCAGTCTTCAGATTAATAAATTAGTCCAAGAATTATAAGTAATCAAGCTTTAGGATGCATTTGTCAGAGGAACTGGTAAAAACCACAGACAGAAAGGACCACAGATTTAGTTTGGTTATTGTAATAGGATTTAGAGCCAAAACAGAAAAAGAATGCGTTCTAAAACTTTATAATTAAGATCTAATAAACTATGATACTTCTCCACCTTATGTTTTATAAATATACAGATTTTCAGGTAACATTTGCCTTCACTAAATACAAGAGAATTATTCCCCCCCAAAGCAGTATTTTCCTTACTTTTCTTATGCAATGGGAGAGTCTTTTGTGTGTACTGTTAACGAGAATGTTGGGGGTTTTTTTTAGACTTATTCCATTGGACAGTGCTGTTTTGCTTTTATAAAACATATGCTTCTAAGATCTAAAAGGATAGAATGTCACTGAATTCTTTAATTTGCTCCTTTTACATTTTTACACCTTACTCTCTTTTTTTGTCAAAAGTTTACATTTTAAAATCATCTCAAGTGCTTTTCACATAGGGTTCACTTTAGGATAGGATTTTTCATATGGATTCACACTTAGAAATTTAATGACTAGAATAAGGCTACTAACACTTGGCTTTCTTCTCACATGAGACATTATACTTTCAATATGAGTGAGAGTTTGGGGGCTATAACTTGAAGCAGGATTTGAAACAGAATGCTAGTAACTGAAAAGCAGAAACAGAATTGGATACTTTTTTTTTCTTAAAGTGACTCTTTCTACTACAGAACACTGTTGCCCATGACTTCTCACCTGAAATGATTTCAGATTTGAAATGTTTAAATTCCTCACATGCATGCAAGTATGTTCTCCCTTCTTCTTTCCCTCTCTATTTCTCTTTCACACACAAACACACACACAGACACACACACACTTTTCTTAAGATCTTTCTTAAGAGAAATCCAAAGCATGCAGAAATTAAATGTTTCTTAATCATTTTAAAAATCTAAAACCATTTTCCTAACTTAAAAAATCTGAACATTTCTTTAAAAAGTTTACATCTAAGTTTAGTCATTGACTGCAGCTTTCTCGGACTTTCAGGACACTTCCTTTTCCGAGTAGGTCAGACACATTGGCCACATACTTGTCACACAGATTAAAAATAGGTTTCATTTCATCCACGATAGGGAGCTTTTTGTGACTCCCAAATCTAACTTGAACACAAGATTCTAGAAGTAACCATAAAATAATTAGCCAAGGATTGACTTTTTACACTAACAATTCTCTTCCCTTTTCAACCCAAATAAGTCTAATACCATGAAGTTGTATTTTTGCCTCATTTTTACTATGTGAATTTACTTACTGAAAATTCCCAACAACTTTCTGAGATCAGTACCTCGTGTTTTTACAAATTTCTCATCATATTTTAAAATGCCTTAGAAAAAAAAATTTTGGACATTACCTTGTTACCAGATTGAAAAGGGCACAGGGCACAAATGGGGCACTTGTGTAAAGTAAACACCGCCCAGACGAACGGGACAGATCTTCATTCCCATCCTATTTCTCATTTCCTTTTATTTACAAGTTGTGCGATCTTTTGTGTGCAAAAAGAGATGCATTCTCTCTTGTGCTTTCTGAGAGTGACCTGTAGTTTCTTAAAATTTTTCAACTGATAGCTGCTGATTTTTATTCTGTTCTCCTCTTCAAGTTCTGCAACATTCTAGAAACCTCTATGACCTGCTCTTAATTGGAGGAGAGAAGAATTCTCAGATTCCTGCCTCAAAATGACTCCAAACAATGATTAAGCTTACAGTTCAGATTCAGTGCCCAGAAAGCCATTTGTGGTTGTTGTAATTATGTCAGGCTCTGTCTCCCCCAACCACAGCCATGCCACTCTAAGTTTCCTTCAAGACCCTGGTCACTTTATAGTCCCCTTTTAATTTAAGCTTATACTCTACATGTCAGTAAGGTGTTGCTCACTTGTATTAACACTCCTCCAAAGTCATTACTTTGTTCCTTAAAAATGAAAACTTAAAAGCTGGTGACATTTTTAGAACTTCTAAAAATCTCTCAACTGCCCCAGCACAATTTCAGGCAACTTCTTAATCTCTCTCCCTCCCTCTCTCCCTCCTCCCTGGTCTTCTCCCTCTGTCTTTCTTCACTTCCTTCCTTGATTTTATTTGGCTTGGTTTTCCTTTGATTTGTCTAAGCAAAATAAAAGCAAAAAACCTTTAGCACAACAGATAAACTTTGGGGGATCAAGATCAGTTAGAGGTTTTGGCGTCTCGTCCTCCTCTGCTACTCATTTGCAGCCTGGCTCTAGGTGAATCTCTGTGTGATTCATCTGTTAACCTGGAGGGATTTTTTTTCCCCTAAATTCTTAATAGCATTTCCCCCCCTGAAGCACTGCTATAATGAAATAATAAATATAAACCTGTTCGTAAACTCAAAGGGCTTTACACATTTCACGTAATAGTAATGGCATTTCTCCTGTGCCTTAACCACTTAAAAGTGAAATTCACATCAGCAAATGCATGGGTTAAGGGTGTTGTGTATCTTGTGTTTATAAAAGTTAAAAGTTGGATGATTAACTTTGAATAGCCGTCATCCATAACAAAAACCAGGAAATAAGTGTGCGGCGGATTGCATCCATTTACAAAAAAATCCGGAGCTTTCCCCTATGGTTGAAAAGACAGTTCCACTTTAAACCAATCAGAAACTGGGATTTCCTGAGTTGATGAAACTCAAGAACCATTTACTTGGTGGCTTTTTGAAATCTAATTGACGTAAGTTATGCAAATTTGCAATATGAATTTTGAGCATGCTTTCGTCTTTGGGTTGTTAATGCTTCTTCATTGCTTTCTCTTCTCTCCCTCCCCCTCACAGGGTGAAATGACTCCTTTTTCTTGGGCAGCCCTACACGGTAAATTCAGGTCTCTGCTTACAACAGAACCTAGGGAAGATTTGTGACAGATGGGGCTAAGTCACAAACTTGCAGCCTAAGGCAGAATCTGTAGAACTTTCCAGAGTGTGCCCATATTTACCTGATCAGAGAGAAAAGAAAATCTGCAGAGGAAGCTGAGCCTGGCTGCTTGTCATAGCTGACACAGAGCCATCTGCCACAAACCTGTGGCGGCTTCAGATCTCCCATCCCTGCCACCACCCCAACTCAAATTAAATACAGATTCCTAGAGACGTTAGGATGGTTACACATGTCCTCGGCATCACATGGAGGAGACTGTTCAAAAAAAATATGTGGCCTGTTGTATAACCGCACTCATGTATCCCATATGTGGTGCCACATTGAATTTCCGGTTGAATCCGTTTTTATCCTTTGTACTGGATGACATGGTGCCTGAATTCTTTCTTTTTGCCGACACGATGGCAGCCAAACTGCAGCTTCAAAAGCTCGCGCTTGGCTGGGTTTCCACCTAGGTTGCCAGGTTATCGCTGGAGCCTTCTTGTGTCCTCAAAGGGCCACAGGGTCTGAACGGACGATCAGAATGCTGCCAGGCTAATTGGGCAGCCATCTCAGAATTGTTCGTGGGCAAAGGGCTGCTTTAGCACTTTTATTTTAGCAAATTAACGACTCTCTGGCACAGGGGTTCTTAAGTGAAGGTATTAATAAGGGGTCTGGCAGGTAGTCCCATGATTCACAGTTACATTTGCATTTAATTTATTTTAAAGTTGCGAGATAAACAGCTGTAATTTGGACAAACATGGGAAACACGCTAAGTGGGGCCATCTTGCCCATAAAAGGAACACTGAGATACTTGTTTTAATTTTTTTCCTGGGGTAAAAATAGAGAAATCAAAATACTTCCACTAAAACAGTAATTTTGATAGAAATATTCCTCAAAAATAGTTGCATCCAGCTACAAATACAATCTTTTCAAGATAAATCGCTTATGATTCCAATAGTCACGCTGCTGTATTTGTTGATATAAAGATGTTTTGAACAGCTAGATTGTAAAATAAATTTTTAATAAAGTGCCTACTGCAATTTTTAATTAGCATATCTCATTTATGTGTAAGAGTGTACATCTATCTGTATGTTTCTCGCTGAATACTTTCCTTGTGTCAGAGACAACGAATACAATTGTTTCTTTTCCGGATGTACAGGGATCTGTTTTGCAAATGTTTGTAAGATATTATGACATTTCCAAGATTGTCTTTGCATTCTGGAAAGCAGGAGGTAAACATTTGTAGTCATTAAGGTAAAGTCTGTTGATAAACCATCTTCTGTTTACTGACAGGTAAACTGTAACTTTCCTAGCTTTTGAAAGGAATAACTTTTATACACTGCAGAGTGAGGGACAGCCAGGGAGCAGAGGGTGGACAAGGGCCAAGCATGGCCTTCTGGCTTCTAGAAGGACCGAGTGGTCTAGCAGGCATCCGAGATAGAGCAGGCGATGATTCACAAGTCCAGTAGGGCCCATTTGACAGGTAGCAAAATGGTCAGCAGGAATTAGATCAAGGTCCAGGAGCCAGATAGATCCCTCAGGATAGAGGCAGTCTTGCAGATCAAAGAAGGCAGGAATTCAGAATGCATCAGGCCTGGGAACTGAAAAGCAGGACAAGTAAGAAGCAGAAACAACAAGCCTTATCTTTGCAGATAGTCCTCTCCCTAATCAGTGTGAGGTCTTTAACGCATGATGGGACATCACAGCACTAGCTTCGAGTCCTATCAATTGTGGGGAAGCCACTGAACAGATTACCTCCTCACCCACGAAACAAAGGGCTCGGGGATTATTTCAGAAGTCCCTTCCGGTCTGAGACTGGGGAACTCAGACAGGTGTGCACCTTTTGAGTGTAAAAGTTAAGGTATAAATATGCCCAAGAGGTTCTTAGACCGTTGGGCAGGGTTTGTCATCTAATGAAATGAACTAGACCAGTAAATTTGCTTCAGTCAGAAGGATGCCATGTCACAGTGATGTCTTCTCACAGCCAAGAAACAGTGTTTAGTTTATTGTGTTTTACTGTCATGAAAATAATGGGCTCCCATTTTATAGTAGACATAGTTGAAAGTTACCTGTGTATGGAGGGGTTTTCTTCCCTCTACCCATAAATGCAAATCAGCTTTTGTCTTTAGCTGTACCCAGTATTCCTTCTCGAATAAAAATTTACATTGAAGTTGTCACTTCTTAAAACTATGCTGTCAGACCTGGTATCAGTGCATATAAACAATAAAAAGTTTTGTAAATGTGTAATTCTTAACATTTGAAAACTTGAAGTGTGTGTGCATCTGTGTGTCCGGGTGTGTTGTGTGCCTCTCAGATCCGTTATACGGTGGGATGGAGTGTTACTAAGTTAACCCATATTTCATTGAAGTCACATTGCAAATACAAGTTGACTTTTTAATTCCTATTTCCCTTACTTTGAATGAAGAGACCGAACGCTCCCACTATTTATTTTGAGTATGGTTGTTGAAATTTTGATCTTTCTTTTTTGAAACATTCAGGTCTGTTCATTCTGTTCTTTTAACATAAATCACTAAGCCAATTTCAAGTTTAAATATCTTTAAAAGTCTGCTCATTACCAAGACCTTGGTACGGTGTCCAGGATGCCCGCCATGACCTTGCCTAATCTGTGTTTCTGGCTAGGTGTTTCTGTACTAAGTAGCAGGGCACCTTGCTCTTAACCTATTCATTTATACCATGTTGATCAGGAATAGGTCAAAAGACCACTCTCAAAAAAGCTTGTGGTTTAATAAGCATCCTTCAGATATGGCTCTGGATCTCAAATCTTCAGACAAGCCACATAAAGATGGCAGCAGAATCAGTAAGTGGATGGAAACTCGCAGCCGTAGAGGGCTGCACAGATTCATTTCAACACCTTGAAATGCATCTGGAAGCAAAGATTTCATTTTATGTTGAAGGTGTTAATTATATTTGATATTTTTAAAAGTAAAATCTGTTTTTGAGAAAGCATCTGCTACCCAGAAATATTATGAGCCACAATAAAATTTTCAGTTAAGTCTCAAGATACTTTTTGTGGGTGATAGAATCAGTTTTCAAATGATAGTCCATGCTGTTGACATATTCCATGAGTTTTATTCTTCTATTGACTATTGACAAGTATCACCCTAAGTGCCTTTCGGTTTCAGTGGAAAACTGGGTGGCCTTTAATATCAGATTTTATATTTAACAATGAAGAGAGTATATTATAAACCACTGACATGTTTCATTTTAAAATTTGAACTGAGATTACATGCCAACTAATGCTTCTATAATACACCCTCCCTTCAGAGCTGTGCATTAACATGTAATTGGGAAAGTTTAAAAACATCCAAACAATTCTACATACAGCTCAAAGCTATGCATATTGGTGATTAAAATATAACAACAACGGGTGGGAGGATGGGTTAGCCTGGTGGTGGGTATTGAGGAGGGCACATTCTGCATGGAGCACTGGGTGTTATGCACAAACAATGAATCACGGAACACTACATCAAAAACTAATGATGTATGGGGATTAACATAAGAATAAAAAAAAAAGGACCTTATTTAAAAAAAATAATAAATATAAAAAAAATAAAAAATAAAATACAACAACAACAACAAAAACCATGGGGATTTACACCAAATGTACACTACTTGTTAAGTCAGAGGAGTGATGGTACAAAGCACAGGCATGTAACGGAGGGAAGCATATTCACTTGGTGGCTGGTGGCTTATTTCTGCAGTTGGGTCATAGTATCCAAAGGCTATTCATACTCTTTATGACTTCTTACGTGTCTTGAATGTTATTACTAGATATGACTTCTGATAGGAGCTACGAATACTTTGGTGAGTTTCGCTACCATGGCTTCCTTAACATTTATTTTTTTAAGATTTTATTTATTTATTTGAGAGAGAGAATGAGAGAGAGAGAGCACATGAGAGGGGGGAGGGTCAGAGAGAGAAGCAGACCCCCTGCTGAGCAAGGAGCCCAATATGGGACTCGATCCCGGGACTCCAGGATCATGACCTGAGCCGAAGGCAGTCGCTTAACCAACTGAGCCACCCAGGTGCCCCTTCCTTAACATTTCTTGACTCTAAACTATTGATCCGGTCAGAGAACCATTTCCCTTCAGACAGTGGAAGAAACTGCCCTAACTGCCAGTTTTGCATGAGAAGACTTTACCAGGAGTCAAGGACTTAACCTTGATCCTGAAACAAATCATACTTTGAAAAAGTCTGACGTGATGGTCGATAAGTCCCTTTTTCCTAGGGCTGCTGACCACCATTCCTCACTAATTCCTGTAATGTTACAAACTCAACATGGAAAACCATAGTTCTGTAAACTCCCTTTTGAAAGATAATGAGAAGAAGATAAAGGAAGATGTTTCATGAGCCAGTCTTCATATCTTGGAAAATTCAGAGCTGTGTGGTAGAGCACAGTTATCTGAGCTCCTAACCACACTAGCCATCTCCCATACTGGTGTCTATTCCTTTTCCTCTTCAAGACAGGGTTAGTTGTGGACTCAATCCTTCATTGCATTCCATGAGAAGGAGTTCTCCCTCCCCTGTCTTTAGAATTCCCCAGCTGCATCTGAGGTACATATGACTTCAGCGACCAGGATCCTTGCTCACCCTACAGTCTGTTTTCCTACAGTGGAATTTGGGGACAGTGTCTTCAGCGATCCTCCCATTATCATTACGTAAGTGATTCCGACTTCTCTGTTGCAGGTCTATGGCTATGAATTTTAACCCTAAGACGGGTTCATAATTATTCTCATAAATTAACATAAGGAATTGATGATTCGTGGGAGATGATTTAAGATGCTTATGTTACTCGTATCAATTACTGCATTTAAATAGCAGACCTAAGGTGGTATGCTGGAAGTGATTTCTGGGAATACTTGTGTGATACCTTTCTCCAGGAATGTGAAGTCCTTTATATTTGAAAATTTAATATTTCCATTATCATTTCACAAATGAGAAAATCAAGGGATCATATAATGGTATATTTAGGAGCCAGACTATGTTGTATAAACAGAGAATTCTTGTATAGGCCTTCCCCCTTGTGGGATGGTATCATTGTCACCCATGTGTCTTTCAGGAAGCACCAGGGTCAGTGTGCATGACTATTGGACCCCTAGGCAATAGAGTGCAGAGGGTAGCAGGGGGCTGCTTTGTGGCCCACATGGTTGGTCTTAAAAGAGGCATGAGAGACCATGTAGTGAGGCCAATGTTTTCGGTGTCTTTAAGAGTACTATTTGTTTATTTGAGTGAGGGAGAGAGAGCGCGCACACGAGCAGGGGGGAGGGGCAGAGGAAGAGGGAGAAGCAGGCTTCCTGCAGAGCAGGGAGCACGATGCGGGGCTTGATCCCAGGACCCTGGGATCATGACCTGAGCTGAAGGCAGGTGCTTAACCGACTGAGCCACCCAGGTGCCCCCTATGAGTACTATTATTGTGCCTGTGGGGAGGCATTCAGCCTCAACATCCATCATAGGCCCTCCACTCCCTGTGGTCTTTACACTCAGATGCTTTTATACATTTAAGGTAACTTTCCTGGCCCTCCTGGTAAGCATTTGTTTTTGGGACCTGTGGGAAAACTGAGGCCCTAATGAGAAGCCGAGTTGCTGTGGGTCCTGTGGTGGAAGAGGCAGGTCTAGAACAACCTCATGCAGAAGGCCGTGGTCAATCCAATTGGTCAAGACCACCATCCCTTAAAGGAGAGGAAGGGGCAAATCTCTCTCTCCATCTTCTTCCCCTTCCCTCCTCCTGCTGCTCTTACTAGCAGAACGAACATGGACTAATAAATTGCCAGTACCTTTCTATAGATTTGTTTCATGTTAACTCCTGGTCGCATTTGGATTCTAAGAGGCCACAAGGGGAGGAATGTACAAGAATTCCTTCCGGGTGCTAAAATTTCAAACTCTGGCACACGCGCTACTTCTGGACAGCTGAGCCTTCTCTATTGCCTTTGACATCATACAGTGATGAAGTTACTTATCCATATAGATAGAAGGCTGGCCCTTCATCCAGAGGCAGCCCCCACAATCTCACCTGGTGCCAAGGGCCTGGCACAGAGGGAGCAGGTGACATGGGCAGCAGAAGCACCTTTAACTGTGCACCAGAGGGAGTGCTTCCTCTCATCCCAAATAACCCAGAAATTACATCCTGAAACCTATTTCCCCGGAAAGAAAAGGAAGGGGAGGGATAACTTAAAAAGAAAATACTTCTAATATGGTATTAGACTGTAATTCATAGGGAAATTTATGCCTGAGATATGAATTTCTGAAAATGGGTTTTTTTAAAGGGAAACACTGACACATCCTTAATTATAGAGTAATAAATACCAATGGTATATTATCTTCTGATATTTCCTTACACAGATATCAAAGCATGCAGCTGTTTTTGAAAACTGATAATCAAGTACAATATAAGTATATTACATCTTGTACTTACAACACACCCTTCAACTAAGCAACCTCCTGGAGCACTCAACAGTGAGAACCAGAGCTGCTTATAGTAGAAGCCTAACTGAACAAATTAGCCTTGAATTGTAACTTAAGAATCATAGTCCAACTGAAATGCCTGTCCTTGCCAGGAAAGGCATTCCAAAGGCAAAGAGCATGCCAAGTAAAAAGCCTTTGCTTCAGGATTATGGAGGCAGTTCTCAAAAGCCAGCATAACTTAATGATCAATCAGAAAAAATATAGAGCAGTAACTACACAACTGAAGGATACATAAAAATTGTACAAAGCATTAATAGTGAATGGGAGGTAGAATGGGATTTTAACAGAACGTATTACGCTCTTAGAAAGCTCTATTTATTGCTTTCAATCCGGGCAGCAAAAGAAAGACAAACATGGTCAAAGAAAAGTACGTGGACAAATGTGGGGGGTAGGAAAGGAAATGAAGGTTAAACAAGGCCAATATGATTCAGAATGAAAGGGAGGGAGGAAAGTATAAGGAGCCAGCTGCAATTACTAAATGTTACATTAAGAAGAGCTGAAATTGAGAGGGGGAGGTCTGGGTATTTTACTAAGTGGATTAATGTCCTCTTCTTTGGGTGTCTGAAGTTGCAGATTTTAATTTATTTGGTGCAGGGTTTTATTGTGAAATTCCTAATGGGGTGGAGGGATAAATAAGGACAATTATACACAGTCAGAAAGTAGAAAGGGGGAACATAAAATACTTCTTCATAAATTTAACTAAAATAAATATAGGGTTTGAAGCTATAGACAAAGGTAAATAGTCAACAAAATATTTAGTTCATTATGATAGAACTCAAAGGAAAATGAGAGGTACATACAAAAAACAAAACAAAACAAAAAGACAAAAACATCCACAGAGATGCGTCAAGCCAAGGATTCTGAGCGACTTAGGGGCTAGTTTATTGCTGCTCTCCTTTCTCCACCCATTTAAAAAAATAAATCATAACTCTGGCATTTAGAAACCTAGTCATGAACATCATTTATTAATATAAACTTAATTCTGTGCTGTTCTTTGGTGGGTGGTAAAAACATGAACTAACAACAACTGGCCTAAAACAGGATGATTCTCTCCAATCCTGGGAAGCTCTAAGGAAAGAGAAATTCCTAATAATGCTCTTTTACCTTATTTATCTTACTGAAGGATAAACTCAAAAAGTGGGGAGGGCAGAGCCAAATCAGAGGACTAGAAGCTTGCAGGAGATTTTTAAATTTTCCTAAATAGGCATCAGAAGATGAGATGGGCTTGGAACCTAGTATGATTTATATCAATTTATTAATCTGCCAATCTACTACCATTTCCGGGGAAGGTGGGAAATAAGGAAGGCTCTCTGCCTTCTACAATAGAAGAGACCAAGGCAGAAACAATTGTGTTCATATTCCCCGAGTGTAACACTGCTGTCATGTGGCTGGCAATCGGTCCACAAAGGTTCTGGGTTCAAGCATTTGCCCAGCCAATAACATTAGGAATCATTTCAATTGAAAATATGGATTAGGAGGTATTTAAGAGTTACTGATATGCAGCTATTAATCTTGAATGCAGATAGCATGATTTGGGGTGTGGGCAAATCACTGGAACCACGTGAAAAGGCACTTTGAAAAAAAATTTTTATAAAATGCTGTGGAGAAGATGACATTGGTGAAAAACACAAATGAAAAAGGGAAAATATCATCTCCAAAGAGGAAGATCTGTCAAATGACTAAACAAGGTGGCCTTGTTGCCTTCCACCTGCTGCATCAATTCTATCAGTAAATAGATTACTCACAAAGAGGCGAAGTCTTCTATTTCTACAGCTGACCTAGCAACAAGAGGGAGAAAACACAGAAGAGGACATTGCAATGGTGGCTCAGGATGACCCTCAAAGGTCATCTAACTCTAGGGTTAAAAAATGAGGACGCAGAACTAGAGGTCTGTAATGGTCAGTTTGGAACACTTCATCTGTGTAGAATTCAGGATAGCGTGGAGGTGAACCTCTGTCTTAAATCCCTGGGACAGGGTGTTTTGTGATCGTAGTTAAGAGGAAAGTCATCAAAGCACACACCTTTTTCCTTTTTCCTCTTGAGCTGCAGAGCTGTGGTGGGGAACTTGTGCTCTCTGGTGCTTGCTGCTATGTTCCCTGGCTTTCAATCGGTTTGGCTTTTCCCCTGGATTTCTAATGCTGTGGTAACAGGCCAGAAAAAAAAAAAAAAAAAAGGAATCTACAAAACTGAAAAACAAAATGCGTGTGTATGTTTGTGTGTGTGTACGCGCGCGCGCGTGCACGGTAGGATTTCACTGGAGATAATGAATTGCAACACTAATCACCAAATTTTAAAACTTAAAAAGTATGAGTAATGGAGTTTTGGAAGAAGCAAAATGTGCTCGAGCAGAGTATTTATAGTCCCTTTTTTTGTGAGAGGTTCCCCAGACCTCTGGGTCCATCAGCAAACTGTCCTCCTACTGGAGCGTGCAGCTGCGATTTGGCCCCAGGCACCACCTACCCAGAGTCACTACCTAATGCATTTTACATTTGCACAGATAATAAAAGAGGGAGGGAAAAAAAAAAAAAAAAGCCGAGAAGGGGCCATTTTCCCCCTCAGCGTTCTGTGTTTCCTTTTGTCGCGGCCGTCAGCTGACACATGGAAAATGTGGTGTACGGTTTTGCTTGCCTTTAATCTGTAATTAGGGATTCCTTGTCTGGGGCCTGCTACCTCTTTTCGCCTTCCCTCCCTGCCTCTCGGGTCTTCCGCTCTCGGTCGGGTCTGGCCCCGCGCCGCAGGCGGGGCGCTCGAGGTCGCCCGGCTGGGCCGCGGGCAGCGGGGAGGCGGCGGGACGCGGGGGCCTCGGCCGGGCCCTGCGCTCGCCCGCCCGGAGCGCGCACGCCGGCGCCCCGCCCCGCGCGGTTCCGACCCCCCGGCGAGCCAGTGCCGGGCGTCGGGGCGGCTGCGCCGGGGCTGCCCCGCGCGGGCGAGGACCGCCCGCGCTCAGCCGCCGCCCCCGCCGCTCGTCCTCTCCGCCCCCCCCCCCCCCCGCACCGCGGCGCCTTCGCGGCCGGCGAGCCCGAGCTCCGGCCCACCGCGGCCCCCTTGACGCCCTGCTCGGCCCGGCCCGGAGCGGGCGGAGGGAGCGCCGCACCATTCCTGGCGCGAGAAAAAGGAGCGAGAGGCACGGCGAGGTCACAGGCGTAGCCGAGCCCGCTCGGCGGCGGAGCGCCCAGAGCCCGAGGAGCCCAGGGAGCCCCGGGCGGCGGCCGCGCTCGCGCTCACACTCGCGCCCACGCTCGCGGGACTCGCTCGCCGCCCCGCCTGGCGCGCGCACTGGCACGCGCCCCGCCGCGCGCGCTCGACACTCACGCGCTGCCACGCACACGCGCCGCGTGGCCCGCGGCTGCCCCTGCTCGCTTGCGCACGGCCGGCATCTCCCCTGTCGGGCCCGCGGGAAGGCGGCGCAGCCCTGGCGGGGCACAAGTCTCGCTAGTCGTCTTAAGTGCTTTACTGAACTGGGTTCCCGGAGTCGCCGGTCTGCCCTCCGTGAGACGTTAGGACGAGGATGCACCGAGCAAAAGCAAAAGTACTGATTTCTATGCCCCCTCCCCTTTTAAAAAAAGATCACCTTAATTAAAACAAAAAAAAAACAACGAGGAGGGCGTGGGGATGGGCGCGGAGACTCTACAAGCAGAGATTCTGGCTATTAACTTAAAAATACTCTTCTCCCTCTTTCGTTGTCCAGGCGTGTGTTTAAATCCCACCCCAAGCCCCCAGCGCCATCCTCTTCTCTTCATACCTGTGCTTTGGGTTACAAACTTCCGTTTCTCCTCTCAACCACCAATGGGTTATTTAGGAGGAGACGAGAAGACGCGTGGAGAGGTATGTAGGCAGGAGAATATTGAGGAGCCCCGTGTTGATCTGTCACTCGTTTGGTCAAAAGAAGTTCCTGAGAAACTTGGAATTTCCAATGTTTCATATCGTTTTGAGGCTTCTAAAATGTCTGAAGAGCCTCCGCACCAGTATTACTTTTTATCACTCGACACTTAGCTGAGTGTAGACGTTTAGAACTATACGTATACGAGGAAAAGATGCCCCTCGTCCTCGGTTTCACCAACGCCGTCTGCGTTCCTTTCCATCTGGGTTGTAGCTTATTTCCTCTCTCGTTTCCACCAGTAGAGATTGTATGCTAAAGTGGTGTACCCGAGACCAAATACAAGAATCCTTCATCTGGAGTGTCCATGACCGTACTTGGCATCTCTCTCTCTCAAGATCCCAACCCCTCTGTTTGAAATATTATTCGAACTGTAGACTTGGACATACGGGTTGGTTGGCTGGTTGGTTGGCTGGTTGGTTGGTTGGTTGGTTGGTTGGTTGGCTGGCTGGCTGGCTGGCTGGCTGGCTGGTTGGTTGGTTGGTTGGTTGGTTGGCTGGTTGGCTGGTTGGTTGGTTGGTTTAAAATGTGGGAAGAGCAGCGCAGGGATAAGCCGAGGGCCGGGAGGTTGGCCTGCAGAAGCCTACCCTTGAAAGGCTGAACAGGAGGAGTGCATGGGAAGTGCATCGAGAAGAGACTGTCTGTAAACAATGATAATCAGGGCTTTCAAAAATCATAAAACTGATTGAAATATCTGATTCATTATTTATTCACCACAGCACAACTTTGCAAATCCAAGAATAGTGTTTGAAAACCAAGTGCCTTCTATTTTGTACATCAACTCGGCAGATGGGTCTCCCTTTCAAAATGTAGCGAAAGGGTTAAAGCTATAATTTTAGAAAAGTATCTCAGGAAATGACATTAAGATCTGATACACTTCCCTTTCTTTCTGGCAATAATATCCCCCCAATAAAAAATATATATACTTATTGATATGATGATAATGTTTCTCATTATGAGTACAAGTGTCATAATGATTCCTGTTTGTGCAAGTGTTTTTAAAACTGCGAGGACACTTTCACTACTATGAAAGCTGACGAGCCAATGAAGGAGAACTTATTTTAACTCCATAATAGCAGGTTACATAGTAAAGGAGCGCGATGGTCAAATAGCCAATTATGGTATAAATATCCGTTGTTTACGGAGGGGTGTTAAATGAGCCTTTGGAGTACAAAGGATTAGGCCACCACTAAGCTACCACTTGTTCTTCAACCTATTATGTCTTTCCTTAAAAAGGCCAGGGCCACTGTAGGTAATATGCACACAGAACATACTTCTCTATGTTGATTTTAGTTTGCTTTATTTCAATGCACACTGTTGTTTACTTTTTAAAATTTAAATAAATGTCAGCATTGTATAATTTCTATGTTAACAAAGCAGTGAGCAAAATCCCTTGTATGTTTATAAAATATTATTGTTTAATTCACATAGTTTAGAAATTCCAAATGTTGAGAATAGGAAGGAGGCCAAATACCATCTGTTTATAACTATGATGCATCGTAATATGTGTACTTTTAAAAGGAGTTTGGTCAATCATGCCACTATTTTATCTGCTCAGAATATGTTGAAGATTTAAAATGTAATTTACAGGATTACTTTTAGTGCGTTGCATCCAACTGTGAGTTGTAAAGGAATCCGTCTCTTCTGTTTTTCTCAAATTAATCATGTAACAGCCCCAATTAATGGGGGCTGTTAAACGGGGCACTTTTTGCTTAGCTCCAGAATTCTTCTAACTTTGGCTCAGTCCACCTTCTTGATGCTGATAAAAACTCCAAGGACAAATGAAACAAAACACTCCTAGCTGTGTCTTTCTGCCAGAAGATAGTCACTTAGAATGGGAGGCAGGGTGTGGTAGCTAATAATTAGCTAACATCAGCCCTGAGAAATTACCTGTGAAATACCCTTTGGTTCTGGGTTGAAAAACAACATTTGACACTCCCTGTTTTAAAATAGTACATTCTTGTCCCGGAGACTTCTGATTTAACTTACCTTTTATTTCAAATGCATCCAATTGCATACCATATAACAAAGGGAGTACACTTACTTGCCCTAGATGAGCAGGTTTGGAGGTTTTTTTAAAGTTACAAACTCAAGTTATTTAGTGAGGCATCTTTCCCTTCCTTTACAAACTAGAGAAACTCAGCAACTGAGCCCTCAATTCCGGGCGGACGTTGTGCTGAAGGCCAGAGGTGGCTTTAGCGTCTTACGTCATGGACTCTCTTTTTCAAGAAGGAGGAACTAAAAAGTCAGATGTCCTGATAAATTTTGAAAATGTGATAAAAACATTTATTAGCCAATGATGGTTGCCGGATTGATTTTTTTGGCAAGGTAGAATCAGTAAAAAGCTACCCCTTGAAATGCTTTTATGGACAAACACATGCAGAAATCTGAAAACACACTCCCAAAGAGCTGGGCACGTTCTGGATGTTTTACTTCTCAGTTGAGTGTTCAACGGGTGCTCTATCAAGTGCTTTCTCTGTTCATGTAACGATAACTGTTTTCTCAAACATTTTAGTTTTAGCAGCTTCCTCTAAAATTCTATCAACCAAGAATATTTACTTACATATAATTAAGAACATTAAGAATACCTTACCGGAGTAAACGAACTGATCTATACATACATTTTTTTTTACAGTCTCATTGTTACATTTTGGAAGTCTGTTTATTATCTTTCTGGTCAGATTTTTTTTTCCCCCAAATAATGAATCCACTGGGTCTTTATGTTACAGAGATATACCCCAGCTTGTTTTTCCTTTGAGTTAAAATAAGAAACTATCAGACTCCTTTTTCTTAAGTAATTGCTCAAGTGTACAGAGTAGAAGAGACAGTACCAAAAAAAAGAAAGAAATGTGGGGGATAAAGAGAAGGAAAATTGGAGAAAGTGTAGGGAAAGGAGGTAAGAGAGCAGACGCTAGAAGTGCGATAAAGAGGCTCATCAAACAAAACTCAACATTGCTTGAGTGCCATAAGCCATAATCATTAAAAAGAATCATCATTTCCAAGTAAAACCTAGACTGTTGCATTCAGATATTAACCAGCTCATGGAAACTCTTAAGTGAAATCTGATTGAGACCTGTGGATCAGGTTTTCCATTCCACCTTCTTAAGTGAAGTCTGTACTCGATATCCACATTTACGCTGCGGGAGACAGAAAGAGCCATAGAGGCATTCTTTGCTTTTAAGGCATCTACAGGCTAGAAGTAAGCCATGGGTACATAAAATAAATGAGACTATGTATGAGCATCGTTATATGCTACATACTGGACATGTAAAAATAAAGACCGTTTTAAATGGAGGAATTATTCAGGCATGCTTTCCTTTTGAGTACCTTGGCTAGCAGTGAATTTCTAAACAAGTTAAGCAAGTCCTTAAATGCATAAACCCTTTGGAACTCGAGGAGTCTAATGAATTGTGGTAGGTAATATACTCAAAATTGAAATTGGCATGTAGGTGCTCATTTCATGTTCCCTTTAGAGCTGACTTAGAACCATGGCAATGATCACACGAGCACATAAGGCATTGTATAGTCATGTTATCTTGACAACCAAAATCACTTTATAAAATATACTTTAATAAGTTATCATAGAGCCCTGAAGTTAAACCATATAACTTAATCAATACTGAGTGGGCATTTCTAGGTATCATATTTAAATTGAGTAAGAGATAAAAAGAAAAGAATTAAGAATAAGAAAAAGGTATGGGAAACTATTTGCTTCTTCCAATTAATATAAAACATGCCAGAAGCTTTTTCTCATTTTGCTCTTTATGAAGAATTACTGACCCAGAGAAAAATCAAATGACGACTACCACTAAACAAACAATAAAAGCAGCAACAACAACGACAAACCTTACTTGTTTAGGAGAAAAACATGAAAAAGTAATAAATTCACCCATTTTAAAAATTAAGAAGAAAAGACATAAAATTTAATACATACAATAAATAATAAATATTCTTCAGTTTCATATGATGGCTAATTAAGGAAAAAGCCCATGTGAAAAATTTGGAAGAGAGATGAATAAAACAAGGTAATTAACTCTTTGCTCCTTCAGCCTTAAAGCAGAGAGAGCAGGGTAAGATTTCTTTTAACTTGGGACCGGCAGCCACCTCAGAGATCAAATCTGCCTTTACAAAATAAAATAAAAGGAATCTTAGTAGCTCTGCAGCTCAAGCTCCAACCTTGTTTTTGGCCCCACTCTGATGTTGGTGCCCCAGCATGGCGGCCCCTGAGTGCTTTGCTCTTTGATTGAATTCCTGCCCTTAATACAGATAGTCAACAGCTGGGTTCTTCCTTGTTCTCTTGGCCCTCCCTTGACAGAATCAGCTCTCTGGTATTCATTCTACCACATTGGGTTAGTCTTTGAGAGCTGAAGATGCATTTTTTTTCATCCATTCTCTAATGTAGTCTTTGTAATGCCCTTGTGATATAGGGAAACCATAGCTTTAGTCCCAAACTTCAGAAGAAGCAACTCAAAATCATACCACTAGTACATTGCAGAGTTGGGACTGAGAGTCATACCACCTGGTGCCCAGGTTCTCCCTCTCCTTTAGACTGGATTTCATACTC